TCCCTCTTAATGCATGTCACTGCGTTGTGTAGTGTGTATAAATTGCTGCCGATTCGAAGAAGGCTTTGGTCGCAATCTGTACACGTTTCTTGAGCAAAATGCTCCAGAATGTGGTCATCCTTTCCTACGGCACTGTCGAATGTTTGTGGACAGAACAAACACTGGTGGACTGAAAAATGTGACACATTTTAGCACGTTACATTCAAGATGCTGTTTTTACGACCTTACCTGCTATTGTTCCGCTCATTTTGATTTGAGAAAATCAATGATTACAAAATAAATTCGCTAATTTTTTTTAGCAATTCGGTGTTATTTCTCCAAGTGTCAAACTTATTGTGATTGTTTACATACAAAACGTCAATCTCTGGATACAAAGTTATGTTTGAAATGTTGAAGAAATGGAATAAGTTCCAGTTTTTGTCACTAGTCGTACCAACTATCAACGATTGAAAAAAAAGATGATTTCATATTAAATGAATTTATTTTCTTCTACTTTAGCATAAAAAAATTGACCAGTAATTTATAACAATACATTATTATTTACAACTTAAAATAACAATAAAAACTTAGGAGCAAATTTATTTTTTTTTAGTCATTGAAATGCCATGTACATTAAGTTGATGCTTTTTGTACCCTCTCACTCCTCCGAATTGCTCTGTGCATCCATTGATTTTACATTGGTATCGTTTTTCGCCTCTATGATTTTTTAGATGTAACATTAAAGATGTGGAATATCTAAAATATTGATCACAACCTTCAATTGAACACTTGAGTGGTTTCTCTCCTGTGTGAATCATTTCGTGTTGCTTTAAACGATATCGGTCCGGACACGCTCGTCCACATGTGGCGCATAAGAAATTTCGAACAGCTGATAATTTCAAGTGAGCTATGTTATTATGACTTTTGCATTCAGATTTAGAAACAAAGCGCTTTCCACATGTCTCACATCCATATTTCCACATGTCTCCACGATCGTGTTTTCGAAGAATATGAGAGAGAAGACTCATTTTTGATGAAATTTTCTTGTGACACATATAACACTCAAATGTACGTGTCGATAGTTTTCTGCATTTTGGACCATGGTTTGTCAGTCCTTGGGCTGTAAAGAAAACTAGTTTGCAATCACCGCATTTGTATCCTCCTGTCTTGTGCACTGCGTATTGATGTATCCTAACGCCATTTGGTTTCGTGAATTTGTCACCGCAAATATCACACATATAAAGTTTTTCGGTGGAAATTGATTCATTGGTCAGAGGAGACTCATTAAATGACTTCTTTTTGCGATTACAGTGATTTAGATGATTGTCTAATGAATTCTTTGCGGCAAAATTTTTACTACAATAATCACATTTGAATTTTGGGCAGGTTGTCCACAACCTTGTCCGATCATGTTTTATATTCATATGTCTTAGTAGAGATTCTTTTTTGCGAATAAATCTCTTACATATATCACATTGATACTGATCGAAATCGTTCGAGCTATGCTTCAGTTTTTTGTGTCTATCCATCCAGAACGTATAGAATAATTCGCCGCAAATGTCACACGGAGCTCGATTATATTTGTAGTTTCTTTTGCTTTGTTCCTTTTCATCCGGTTTACCAGACATATAACTTGATTGCTTCTGCTTCGGTCGTTTACAACGTGGAACATGTTTATCCAAAGATTTTTTCGACAGAAATTTTCCCCAGCAAAATTCACAGTTGTACTTGATGCAATTTGAATGTTGCTTTTTCATATGATTTCGAATGGTATCTGCCCGAACAAATGTTTTACAAATTTCACATTGGATTCGATCGATTTGTGTTCCTGGAGCAGGGTGTCTGAACTTTTTGTGGTGTTTCAGTTGCGAGGACCATTTAAATAGTTTCAGACAAACGTCACACTTGTACTTGTAGTTGCTTTTGCTTTGCTCTTCACTAAATTTGCCTAATGCGTTTGAAAGATGTTTACTGTAGACCACTTTACTTGAGTCAAAATCCATATCATTCAGTTCGGTGGAATTGTTCACATCCACAGATATGAACTGCTCACCTTGTGCTTCTGGCTCCATTTTAATTTCGATTTCCCCAACAGATACTGTATTCGATAGTGTAACATCAATAGCAGAAATATTTTCAATGCTATTCTGGTTGTTGGATCCTTGGTAGTTTTCGATAGAACTTGTTTCCGCAAAATTTATCGGACTCATGAGCTGTTCATTCTGTTCCATTCTGGGCTCGAGTTTTATGTCCAATTGTTGATCACAAATTGCGGCTGTTGCATTATAATTCCATTCATCGCAGTTCTGGTTGATAGATCCCTTATACTTATCGTGCTGAATTCTGACGTCAGGTTTCGATTCTCTCTTGATGCATGTTACTGTGTTGTGTAGTGTGTATAAATTGCTGCCGATCCGAAGAAGGCTTTGGTCGCAATCTGTACACGTTTCTTGAGCAAAATGCTCCAGAATGTGGTCATCCTTTTCGGTGGCACTGCCAAATGTTTGTGGACAGAACAAACATTCGTGAACTACAAAACAAAACTCTCTTCAGCATTTTACGATTGAGTTATAGTATTTATGATCTTACCTGCTTTTGTTACGCTCATTTTTATTTTAGGGACAAGCGACGCTTTGAAATAAATTGTCTACTTGTTGATTAAATCGGTGTAACTTCTTCAATTGTCAAACTTATTGTGATTGTTAACATTCAAGACGTCAAAATCAGATTTGATGTGGTTTTTGAAATGATAGATGAATGGAATAAGTTCTGGATTTTACCACCAGTCGTACCATCTACCTACAACAACGTTCTAAACGATATTTGAAAATTCCATACAAAATACGATTTCTTTCTATTATTGTAATCATTTTTATTTGCCTCAAAAATAGCTTATTTAGCAACAAAAAAATGCAATGAGCTAAGGTTTTAATTTATATTTCTATTTTTCTAATTAGATCTTAGGTGTAACCTAGATAATTATTTAGCTATTGGAATGCCATGTACATTGAGTTTATGTTTTTTGTACCCGCTCGCTCCTCCAAATTGCTCTCCGCATCCATCGATTCTACATTGGAATTTTTTAAGTCCTCTATGGATTTTCATGTGTGCATAATTGGCTCCATGAGTTGTAAAAGATTTGCTACACCCTTCGTACTTGCAAATATATGGCCTCTCTCCAGTATGGATACGTTCATGTTGGGTTAAACATTGCATTTTTCTAAATGCTTGTCCACAAATGCTGCACACAAAATTACGAATATTCAACTTTAGGTGGACTACATTCATATGAGTTTCATACACCGATTTATAAGGGAAATATTTTTCGCAAAATTCACATTTTATTTTTCCCTTATGGACATGGATTAATTGAATATGACGACGAAGACTCGTTTTTGATTTAAAATCTGATCTGATTTTGTGACAGATATAACACTCGAACGTAATCGTTGATAATTTACTGCATTTTGGTCCATGGTTTTGCAAGCCTTGGACTTTACGAAAGACCTGCTTACAACGGGTGCAATGGTGACCTCCGGTCTTATGAACTAAAAATTGATGGGTTCGTAAACTTGCAGGAGTGGCAAGTGTTTTTTTGCAAATATCACAAGTTCTAGATCCATTTGTGTCATTGCCTTTAGATTCATCAACGCTTTTGTTCGGTAGTTTGGAACATGCGAGATTATTAGAAGATTCCATTGATACAGTTACACGCTGATTGTGAAGCACTTGACTTGAGTTAATTTTCACACCACCCGTTCCAGTAGAATCTTCTGCAGCCACAGGTATCAGCTCTTCAACTCCTGGCTTCATTTTGACAAATTTATTTTTTTCCTGGGACTTATTCGCCGACTTTTTACTGCGTTTACAGTAAAACCGATGGTGATTGTCCAACGAATTCTCTGACATAAATATCGCCCAGCAAAAATCACAAGTGTATTTTATGCGATCTGTGTGTTTGAATTTATTATGTTTGTCTAGATATTCTTTCCTTTTAAAAACTATGTTGCATATTTTACATTCGAACTGGTCGGTTTCGATATGTGTATATTCTTCGTGCTCTCCCATTTGCCAGGAGTTTCGAGACGATTTCTCACGAACGTCACACTTGGGTTTGTGTTTGGAGTTACCATCGATTTTTGCGAAATTGTTCGCTGCCGCAGGTACCAGTTCTTTAACTTCCGTCTCCACTTCGATTAATTTTTCATTGTCAGTAGACTTATTCGCCGACTTTTTACTGCGTTTACAGTAAAACCGATGGTGATTGTCCAACGAATTCTCTGACATAAATATCGCCCAGCAAAAATCACAAGTGTATTTTATGCGATCTGTGTGTTTGAATTTAATATGTTTGTCTAGATATTCTTTCCTTTTAAAAGTTATATTGCAAATTTTACATTCCCATCGGTCAATCACTGAACCCGGATTTGCAATGCTATGTGTATACTTTTTGTGCTGTTCAAGTTGATATGGTTTTCGAAACGATTTTTCACAAAAGTCACATTTGTGCTTGAAGTTACTCTTGCTTTTCGGCTCAGGCAATTTTTCTAACGGAGTTAAATGAAATTGACCTTGGAACTCTTGACCTGATTCCAAATCCATATTGTTCGGTTGTGTGAAATTGTTCACATCCACAGACATAAACTGTTCAACTTGTGCTCCTGGCTCCGTTTTAATTTCCACTTGATCAATACGGATTGTATTCGATTTCATGGTATTTTGGTTGATCGACTCTGTAAAATGCATTGGATCAACACTCATGAGCTGTTCATTATGTTCTGTTTCGGGCTCAAGTTTGATGTTTAGTTGCTGTCCATAATCTGTATTCGAAGGTGCGACAATTGCATTATAATCCCCATCATCATTGTTTTGGTTGATAGATCTCTTATGGCTATCGTGCTGAATACTGACGTCCAATTTCGATTCTCTCTTGATGCATGTCACTGCGTTGTGTAGTGTGTATAAATTCCTTCCGATTCGAATCAGGCTTTGGTCGCAATCGGTACACGTTTCTTGAGCAAAATGCTCCAGAATGTGGTCATCCTTTTCTACGGCACTGCCGAATGTTTGTGGACAGAACAAACACTGGTGGACTGAAAAATGTGACTCATTTTAGCACGTTACATTCAAGATGCTGTTTTTACGACCTTACCTGCTATTGTTCCGCTCATTTTGATTTGGGAAAATCAATGATTACAAAATAAATTCGCTACTTTTTTTAGCAATTCAGTGTTTCATCTCCAAGTGTCAAGTTTATTGTGATTGTTTACATACAAAACGTCAATTTCTGGATACAAAGTTATGTTTGAAATGTTGAAGAAATGGAATAAGTTCCTATTTCTACCACCAGTCGTACCATTTACCTACAGCAACGTTCAAAACGATATTTGAAAATTTGGAACAACTACACTTTACTGGATACTCAAGAAATGCTGTTGCATATTTTTAGTTGAGTTTTAAGACTAACGTCAAAAAATTAACTGAATTACATCGAGCTCAACTTATTCATACAAATCTGGCAGAAGTAATCTCTTGATATTTCTATATATATTGGTTGTTATTAACGGCACACTGTTGTACATAGATTTGCGCTACGTACCCATGGAGAAGCAGCATTTACGAAAACCAATGGATAATGCAATCGAATGCTGGTTTCTGTAAACATTCTAATCAAATGCGTTGAACATTTATCGTGCATATCATGAAAATAAATGAGAAAAGTTTGCCGGTTTTTTCCGAACTATTTTAGGTACTCACTCGTTCAGTCTGGATGATCTGCTGTAGAAAAAGTGCATTTGGCATGCAAACGAAATAAAAGTTCAGCGCTAATGTGAATATTGAACGCGAAAAGTTCGTCGATTAACATCAACATTAGCATTAATGGAAATTGAAATTTCGTTTCGGATAAATAGAATTGTGCGAACAAGATTAAATTATCATTTCGCCAAATTTGCTTAAAACTCGAATATTTTGATGTGCTCATAAAAATGCGTCAATTAGAATTGCAGACAAAATACGTCATTTTCCACAGAAAATAAACATTAGCCAGCATACAAGACACAAACGAAGTAAAAATCCAAGATTTCATAAAGTTAAATTGAGACCATCGAAAGTCAGAGAGCAATAAAAAGCTTCTAACCAAACTCAAAATGTATAAGTATTTTGAGGCGTTTGTCCAACGAGCGCAACACGATGCACATACATGTCTTAAAGGCAAATTGTTTCAAAACTTTGTCTGAATCAAAATCAACCATTTGTGCTTGTTTGACCACGCATTTTTGATACATTCCGAAAATCCTTTTGACTGTTGTTTCGTCTTTTTTTATTCGCTAACAACTTTTGCGATTGTCAACAGAGATAAAAAGCAAAATGGGAGCGAGTCAACAAGAAAGGACCAGTCATGGTCATGTAACACTAAACTTTATTTTTTTTGTTTATGCCGTTCAGGCCGGGATAACTCGAAAAAAATATCCATACACCAAGAAGCAGAATGAAAGAAAAAAATGAGAAATTTGGAAAACTTAAACACTCAAAAAGTTATGGCAGACACTGTAGCCATCGGCATTTAAAGCAGTCAACAAATTCAGCACGAAGCTGATCGAATAGAAAACCATGCATCATAATTGACGAGAAAATAGTCACGCATGATCTCGTTTACGTCGCAAAAACAATGACACAAAAACAGAGCTACTGAAGCGTAGAAACTTATGTGCCGAAGTAAATCATTTACTCACACGAAAAAAATTGAACGGATTGGACGGAAGTGATAAGTCATTTATTCGAATCAGAACGAAACAAAATTTACTTGAACAAATTGAACTAAATTACCTAGAGGAGAAATTAAACAAAACAATCGGTGACATTTATTTCAGCCAGATACTAACAGAATACAATTCTCGCTTTCGTTTTATGTTTTGTAAAAAAAAAAATCTCTCGAGGTAGAAGTTCCTCAAGTGACGAAACCGAAATGCAAAACGCAAAATTTCTGATATCAATTTCGTGACGGAAAATATTCATAAATTTGTTAGTGCGTTTGGAAAACAAACAAAAATACACTTTCAATAATACGAAGCGTTGTTAAAGTTGTATTTGAATGTTTATTAATTTCATGACACACACAACGTTCCGAATTATTGAAAGTGTATTTTCGATCCTTTTACGCACTTTGCTATTTTAACCATCGAAATTGGTTGGATTGTTCGAAAAGAGTTGGAAAAGATTTAGATTTACAAATCAGTTTCTCAATTCAGCCCACTTATAATGAACAGAATCGTATTTCGGAATGAGACTAGAAATTCCTAATCGACTAAGTGAAATTGTTTAGTAGAAGTCATCGATTTCGAATAAAGACAGGTATTTTTGCGTCATCAAACATTTGTCACTTATCAGATGAAGAAATTGATCATTGCAATATTGTTTTTTTTTTACTTTATTTATTTCGCTTCGTTCAACATTTCCACATGTCTTTATCTGGAACAATTTAACACATATAGGAGCGTCATCACGATTTCATTTTCGCATCCAATCAAATGGCTTTCCTCCTTTTGGGTCAAATTGTTTTAATGTCCTCGTCAACATTTTCTTGTATTCATCATATTCAGGTGTCTGTTCGAAACTCAATTCTAGGGATTTTCTAAAGATCTTAGAGATAGATGTTTTTTCCAAGTTTTCGTTTGTTAAACAGCTTTTCAATAAATTTGTAAGTTCTACAATGTCATCTTTGCGGGATTCGTCACTCATATAATTTTCCGAAAATATTCTGGTGGCAACACCAAAGTCTAAAGGATTTGTACATCAGAAGAAAATTGTTAAAAACCAATTCCAGTGAATTAGTATAATAAAAAGAAATCATGTGTGTGTTTTTACCGAAAAGATAAATTTTTGATTTGTCTCTATGCCCAACAGCAACGTTTTTTAAAAGCAGATCGCCATGAATTATTCCATGGTCATGAATATGTTTAAGTGCATCTAACTGAAATAATACATAATGTTATTAGGTAATTTTAATGTTAGAAATACTTTGCGCTCACCAGTTGTAGGCCGATCTTCATTGTTGTTTCAATGGAAAATTTGTTAGGAGAATTGTTTCGATATTTGCGTAAGTCTTGGCCCAATAATTCAATTATGAGAACATCATAGGTTTCTTTTGCCAAAAAATCATGGAATTCCGGAATCGATTCTATGCATTCAAAAATTCGTTATTTCAATCGATTTTATTAATTGAACTTATATTACAATTTTCTTACTATGTTTTGGCAAAGATTTGTAAATGTCTGCTTCATGCTTGAGGGACGTTCGTCCATCGTTTTTCGATTCGAATTTCATCGCAACTTGAGTTACTCGACCTCTAAAAGTTTTGTTTCCTAAAGTACCAATTAAAATTGAATTAAATTCAACAGTTTATCACGTACAAAAGTAAATACAAAAATATTCGGTTGAAAATGCCAAAATAGCCAAATATTTTGAATCAGTGAGTTACATTTTTATATACAGACAGTTAATGCAAAATTTCACTCACCAATCACAACATCTCCAAAATAACCTTCACCAATATGTTGTTGTGTTCTATCAAACTTGTAAATAGTAACTCCATCACTTCCAATGAGTTGATCACTATGTACCTAATAACCGAATTTTAATTATATCAGTATCCTTATAATATCGATATTGATTCAGAGTCAAGGTCTTACCAATTTCATAAAAATTGTCAAAAAACACCAAGTATAGAAGTATAACGTACTAAAAACTCCCATAATTGCAAATTGTTTATAGCTCATTATCCCTTTCACAACGTTTAACCAGTGACTGTTATTGTGACAATAATGAAATGTGCCTTTATACATTTTAAAAATGTGTTCGTGGAACTAAACACAACAAAAATAATAAATAATATCAACTGTATAAACAGTATAAACATTCAGATGGTAAGATAAATTCCAATCATGCCAAATAATTCACAGCAAGTTCTCTGTTTCATGATGTTTGATCCAATTTTGTATTTGAAATATTTGTTTTTCTCAATTCATTCGTCATTTTTGAAAAAAAACAAAAAACAAAAACAAAATTACAATACAGATGGTGGTTTTGGAATTTTTTTCGCCATATTTGCGTCAGAGCACTCCATATACCCAAATACTCAATATACCCTCATTTTTTCAACAAGTTATTACTTGTTTACATTTGCTGCCGCCAAACATAAGACGTGAAATTGGTTCCAGTGATGGATAGATCGAATTCAGCGCAGCTTCTGAGACAGCTTTTATAGCAGCGACTGATTATTTATGGGTATTGAAATTTTGAATTCGTTTTGCATTTTGTTCGTTTCAAGACTTTTCCAACCATGTTTCATGCTCGTCAGTAGATGCCATACATAGAAAATTCAAAATTTCGTATATAGCAATATAGCGAGTCTACTTTCAGCACGCTAATGGTGCTTTCGTCACTCCATATATTGATAAATCTATTAATACTTGCGTCAATATTCACTTATTGAACGAAATGCCAGGTCGAAATTGACATACCATTGAAATTGAATGGTAATTCTGTAATAATAATTGCAACCGGTCTGACATTTCTTATATAACCCGATTTTTGAGCGGGTCTAATCATTTGTGCGATGTTTTTGAAAGAAAGAAAAAATTAATCAAATTTTTCAAAATCTAAGGTTTTTCATTCTAGTAAATCGATTTATTGATTTGCAGTTCATTTAAATGAAATGGAATTTATTTACACTCCACACTATGGCAATTTCTATCCAAATATAAAGCTTTATAAAACCAATAAAAATATGTTTATCTGTGTCTTCTATATTTCCCTAGGGGAATATCACGCTTAAATTATTTCAAATATTTCAAAAAAATCCAATTTATCTCTAAGAATCTGTCGTATGAAATATGGTGGATATTTGTGAATACGGCGGAGTATTGTGGATTTTTGTGATTATGAATGATATTTAAATGTATTTATTCGGATTTAATGCAAAAAATCTCAAATATCTCCAAAAACCACAAAAATCTGATTTATTTATTCGAAATATTCGGAAATATGTCATACAATTGATGTTTATTTCAAATATCTCACAAGATTCAGGAGCGTGATATTCCCCTAGATATTTCCATTTCATCACAAACACATTTTGGAGTTTTGTTTGGCATATCCTTCTGTTTTAATCAAGATTGAAGCCGTATAAAATAAATACAAAAAAATATTTTCTGAATTCATTCGTTCGTTAACTCATTACATTTCACAGTTTGTGCACATAATTTCTGTGCCTACTTGTTCTCCGCTGTGTTTCAAGTGTGTAATAAAATCATTCTAGCTCCAAAAATAGACGGTTCTGCTGTATGTTTATGATTTAACTCGATGGAACAGCACTTATAAAACGGTGTTAGGGCGTTGATGTGTTTCTTTTTCTGTGTTTAGCGGGAGAAAAATCTATAGAATGGCGCTTTTTTGTGGTGTACAATGTACATGCAAACATAAACATTTTGCGGTGTTGACATTAATTTAATTACATCGTACAAAACGAAATGCGAAAATGTTGGGGCTGTTTTTAAATACGAAGCGAAATAAATTAGTCAATACTTTAAAGAACCATCCCCATTCAAAAAGTTTTTCTACACTATTTTTTACACACCGTCTCCACTCGCATTTAGTCCCATTACATTAGATACACTTTGACCGTTGAAATCCAATGGAAGTGGAGAATAGTGTAAAGCTGTTTGAAGTTCTATTGTTATCGTTGTCCTTCGTTCGGTGTAATTGATTGGATGATTTTCTTTTGCTTATTATGAGCGGACGAGAGAATATAAAAAATATTTGTTGCTAGCTTTGTATCTGACGTGTTGAAAAAAGCCGAGACGGAAAAGTTTTATGCCATATGAGCCGATTAATTTTTTGAGTATCCAGTAAAGGTTAAAATTTATGAGGTTAAAATTTAAATGCCTATGTACATTGAGTTTATGCTTTTTGTACCCGCTTACTCCACCGAATTGCTCTCCACATCCATTGATTTTACATTGGAATTTTTTTAATCCCCTATGTATTTTCAGGTGTCTTCGAATTGATTCTGGGCGAACCAACTTATTACATATTTCACATTCAATAAGATCAATTTTTGTTCCCATTCAGCACTATACTTATAATTTTTGTGTTGTTCCAGTCTCGTTTTTGATTGGATCGATTTGCCGCAAGTGTTACACTGGTGTTTATTCTGGCTTTTTGCTACAGATAATCCATCTGATTGTGTTGAAAGAGGTAGACTGTGATACATTTGAGTTGAGTCAAAATCCGCACAACTCGTTTCGGCGACATTGTTCACACCCACAGGCTCCCTTCAAATTTCCAATTCTTGAACAGAAACTATATTTGATGGACTGATATTCGCAACAATATTATCTTTGTCTCGATTTCGGATGTTGATTAGTTCGCAATTGTCGATGTAACTTGTTTCTAGGGAATCGATCGTGTCAACACATGTGAACGGTACATCTTGTGCTTCTGGCTCTGTTTTTATATCCACTTGCTGTTCATTATCTGTATTCGTTGACGTGTATAAATTGCTTCCAATTCGAATCAGGCTTTGGTCGCAGTTTCTTGGGCAAAATGATCCTAAATGTGGCCATCCTTTTCGCCGGCACTGCCGAATGTTTGTGGACAGAACAAACACTGGTGGACTGAAAAATGTGACACATTTTAGCACCTTACAAAAGAGGTACTCTATTTATGATCTTACCTGCTTTCGTTCCGCTCATTTTGATTGGAGAAAATCAACGATTATAAAATAAATTCGCTACTTGTTTTAGCAATTCGGTGTTTCATCTCCAAGTGTCAAGTTTATTGTGATTGTTTACATGCAAAATGTCAAACTCAAATTCAAAGTGATATTTGGAATGTTAAAAAAATGTAATAAGATCTGATTTTTGCCACCAGACGTGTGAATGGCCAACAATAGGGATGTCAGTATACTTCGAAATATCATACAAAAAAGAGGTATTAATCGCATTAAATGAATTTATTAACTTTTACCTCAGCATAGAAAACAGAGCAGTTGCTTATTTGCTTAAGTCTAGAATCAAATCAATTACTTTTTCATTGGTATGCCATGTTCATTGAGTTTATGCTTTTTGAATCCGATTATTCCACCGAATCGAGCGTTGCATCCATCAAATTTACATTGATATCGTTTTTCGCCTTTATGAACACATCTTATATGATCGTTTCTTGTATTATGATATCCAAAATATCGATCACAACCTTCATAAGTACATTTCAGAGGTTTTTCTCCTGTGTGAGTGAATTCATGAAACTTTAAATCACGTTTGCTTACTAATATTTTCCCGCATATGCTGCACACATAGTTTTGACCAGCCAATTTCAAGTGGATTCGATTCATATGACTGTCTAATGACGATTTATAAGGGAAATATTTTTCGCAAATTTCACACCTGACCTTTCTACCACTGCCATTACCGTGTTCCATACGCAAATGGAGAACAAGATACTTCCTCGAATTGAAGAATTTGTGACACAAAAAACACTCGAACGTAATCTTCGATAATTTACTGCATTTTGGTCCATGATTTGTCAAACCTTGGGCTGAATGAAATAATATCTTACAATGGATGCATCGGTGCCCACCGGTTTTGTGAACTAAAAATTTATGTGTTTGTAAACCTTTTGGACTGGCAAGTATTTTTTCGCAAATATCACAAGTTCTAGATCCATCCATGTCATTGTCTTCCTCATCGTATTTGCTGCGTAGCTTACAGCGTGTGAGATGATCATCCAATGATTTTTTCAAAACAAACTGTGCACTGCAAAAATGGCATGCGTTGATTGTACCGCTGTGTTTCAATCGCATATGTTTACGCAGAGATGGCTCTCTAAGAAAAATCCTGTTGCATTCAACACATTCGAATCGACCTGGTGCGGTGTGATTGTAGATTTTGTGTTGTTTTAGCTTGGATGCTCCTTGAAAGACTTTTCCACAGTCATCACACTCAATGGGTCCCTTTGATTTGGGTGATTTCACTGATACAGTTGCAGACTGACTTTGAAACACTTGACTCGTTCCGGTAAAATCTTCTGCAGCCACAGATGTCATTTCTTCAACTTTGGGCTCCACTTCATTGAAATTATCTCTGATTTGAGACTTAATCCCCAACTTCTTACAGCGTTTTCGGCAAAATCGATGATGATTGTCCAACGAATTCTGTGTCATATACACCGCCCAGCAAAACTTACATGTGTATTTTATGCGATCTGTGTGTTTGAATTTAATATGTTTGTCTAGATATTCTTTCCTCTTAAAAGTTGTTTTGCATATTTCACATTTCAATCTATCCGGATTTGTAATGGTATGTGTATACTTTCTGTGCTGCCCCAGTTGTAAGGGGTTTGGAAACGATTTTTCACAAAAGTCACACTTGTGCTCCTTAGAGTTACTCTCGCTTTTTGGTTCAGACAATTTTTCGAATGGAGATTCACTTTGAAACATCTGACTTGAATCAAAATCCATATCATTTATATCCGCCAAGTTGTTCACATCCTCAGATATAAACAGCTCAACTTGTGACTCCATTTTAATTTCCACTTGATCAACAGTGAGTGTTTTCGATGGTGTAACTCCAATAGCAGAAAGGTCTCTATCACTATTTTGGTAAATGGATTCTGTAAAATTTATCGGATCAACAGTCATGAGCTGTTCATACTGTTCTGTTTCGGGCTCGAGTTTGATGTCCAGTTGCTGATCACAAATGGCCTCGGGTGATGCGAATGTTGCATTACAACCTCCTTCATCATGGTTTTGGTTGAGAGATCCTCTATGGCTTTGATTCAAAATACTGACATTCGATTTCGATTCCCTCTTGATGCATGTCACTGCGTTGTGTAGTGTGTATAAATTGCTGCCGATTCGAATCAGGCTTTGATCGCAATCTGTACACGTTTCTTGAGCAAAATGCTCCAGAATGTGGTCATCCTTTTCTACGGCACTGTCGAATGTTTGTGGACAGAACAAACACTGGTGGACTGAAAAACGGGAATCATTTTATCACATTACAATCGAGGTACTCTATTTATGACCTTACCTGCTATGGTTCCGCTCATTTTTATTTGAGAAAATCAACGTTTTCAAACCAATTCTCTACTTTTTTTTATTAAATCAATGTTTTAGAGTTGTTTTTCTCCAAATGCCAGTGTTATTGGTATAATTGTTTTATTCGAAACGTCAAATTCGGAATGTTGAAGCAATGGAAGTTAGTTCATATTCCCACCACCAGTCGTACAAACTTTGCATGAAATAAGCCTAACACTGTCAAAGTATCAAACATCAAGCTAATGTGCGTTTGTTTTTATTTTCGGTCAATTTTTTACCATGTTTTTGAGTTCAAATCAATGAAAATATCGAATTAATTTCGTTAAATGTGAGGAAATTCAGTGCTTTGATTCACTTTTATGAATAATTTAATGGAATAGTGATATAATTGCCGCACAATGAATAACACCGCGAGTTTGCCGTTGTGCATTCTCGAAGAAATCGGACTTGAAGGCTTAGAAGGAATCACACTCGAAGGATTATGGAAGCGAATTGGTGTTCGTCTGAAGCTTCCACTGCCGCTGAATAGCAGAGTCACAAATGATATTTGGAAATTTATACAAAGTGCAAAGTGTTTGCAATTGTACGAACTGCCAGAGGAGCGTGAACCTTTGAAACTGTTCGACCGTGCCGATTCGGTTGATCCACTATTTGGCGCTACTGAACCCGTGTGTATCCATTCTCTCGGTTTCCATAAAATCTCATTTCAGCAATTGAAATGTTTATTATGCTTTTTTACTGATTTTGATAGGAAACATGCCCCTACAACCATTACAAATACAATCCAATTAGCTATGAGGGCATTCGAGGCTCATGTGAAAATTTTGATGCCAGAAAAGAAGTAGCAAAGGAAGATCTTTTCGGAAAATGTGTCGAAGAAATTGAGGAAAGGTAATAATGAACCGTCCATTTTTCTATTATTATTACGAATTAATAATTGTTCCTTAAATTCCAGTTATGGTCGACATCTCATAATAGTTGCTTCGCAAAGCTTACGGAATTCATTGCTGATACCGCCAACGGTTTCGAAAGAGGTAGAAATCACCATATCTACCTATTGCATCTTGGAGCGTGTCGGTCGTTCGCGATACAATGGCGAATTGGCACAAGGAAAATACTCTTTAGCCGACATCGGCGGCGATCCAGTCACTTTTCACAGTCACAAGTGAGTATTGGTAGAATGTGCAATTTTCCACGCATCAATTTTCGTTAGAAGCTTCTCACCCGCAGAACATAATTCCCATGTTGTTTTTCCACCAACAGAAAAAAACTACAGCGCAATAAACTGATTGAATGCCAATCATTTTCGCAAAATGTCGATGGAACAAATACAAGCAATCAACTGGTTCATTTGCCCCGATTTTCTGCGCTATTCAAACCGCGTCACATGATAATCATGGAGAAAATCATTGGCATTTTGAAGTCAAAGCCAAATTGTATGGCCGAATATCATGAGGTGAAGGGTCACTTTGAAGAAGGCTTGCAACGCACTGTGTCCCGTTTATTCAAGAGTCCATTCTTTCATAAGTTTGTGCTAAGCGATACGGTATGTATTCAATGAATTGGCTGTCAATTTTTCTGTTGGAGGTATTTTCAGCTCAAAATGAATAGGAAAAATTGAGACAAAAATCATTCAATCCGATTGAAACTGAGAAAAAGTAAAAAAAAAAACGCAATACAAACATTTTCACAGAGAGTACCATACCGAGCAATTTACCCAAATGCAACCGAACGCGAGTGGAAGCTAAAACGTGATGCAGAACGAACCGTAAACGTATTACAGCTGCGTGATCCGAATATTGAGCCGGGACAATTCAAGGACATGTACGAAGGATCAACCGATCCGGTCGATGATGATGAAGAGGGAGGCGGTAAGCAGTGACTTTTTTTAAACTTTTCTTGGGCAAATTCAATGAAAAATGTCAAAAATGATGATTTTTTTTCATGCTAGGCTTTTTGGATTGGTCACACACAATTCGAGACTTACCATTGTTGCATCAACTATATAAGCTCATCGATGAGTCAAAGGAAAAAGGTGTCAGTGAAACTGAGAGCAACGCATTTTTAGGGCAATCAAAACTCAACGGCAGAGCATTGATGAAAAATTTGTTGAGAGATAAGATAATCGAATACTATACTACCAGTCATAAACGACAAACTATTAGAAGGTTTGAGAAACTTCAACTTTTTACTTAGATGAATTTTGATTTAATATTCAGTCATTGAAGTGCAGCCACTTACATTTTATTACTTCTTTCAAACAGAAGAATTGGCCATTATTCCATTTCAGATACATTTTGCCGAAATACAACGGTAAGCACAAGAAATCGGTTGACGAAGTGGTCCAATCATCGGATGAACAATCTGCAGCAGAGACGTACGACGATTCATTTATGGTGGAAATGACAGAGCCTATAGTGAAGGTTGAGCAAAGTGAAAATATTGAACACATTGAAGAAATTGAAGTGGAAGTCGAAGAAATGCAAGATTCTACGGAGGATTTTACACAAGATGATGCTACGGAAGATGATGCTACGGAAGACGATACACAAGATCCTACCTACGATGAACACTTTAGAACCGAAGAAGATAACGAAAGAGATGAGCAGAAAAGAGCAATTAAAAACCGTATCGATGAAGACATCATTGTGAAAATCACCGAAATCAACGAAACAAATCACGGCATACCGAAGAAACGACTCCTCAAAGAGAACAAATTAACGGACAAAAATAAGGAGAGGATAAAATTCATTGCGCGTGAAGTCCACTCAAAAGTTTTGTTCGATGATCCATCAAAGTTGCTCAATACATTGAAACGGCATGAGTCGGCTCGCGGTCTCACCGATATTATGTGTCGTAAAACATTTTTTCGTATACTGACATTCATGTGCCAAAAGGGGCAATTGCGACTGTGGCGCATTGAATTCCAGTATAAATCGAAACATCGTTCGCTCACGTATGTGAGCAACAAAAATGTCGACTCGAATTTCTCGCTGATGCAATCGTGCATTGATCAGGCCAAATCTCGATTCCACCTGAACATTTACGAGGAGGAGTGTCGAAAGGAAAATAAAAAGATCAGATCAAGCATAGCAAAGTCAACGGACACGGACACGGACACACCGGACGATGCAGATATGCAAAAGAACCAATTGCAAAAGTTGAACAAATCCACAAATCCATCGTTCAATTATGGAATCACACCAAAGTTCATTCGATTGCGAACGTTGCACGAATTTATGTTTTACCTGGCTCGTGAGCACAAATCGATTGAATTGGTGGATCAAAATGAAGTCGTTGCGAAGCTAAGAGAAACCTCACCGGTTGCTTTTGAGGATATGGATGAGGTGCCAATGATTTGGAACGCAGAAATCGGTTGGCGAATGTTTGTGCCGCCATTGATCAAACACAATGGCTTCGACGAAGGCTGGTGCCTACTCTCTGACTGTATATTCCGGATGCCACTTTCGATTTTCGTCAAAGTGGTGAATATTGCCTATGAAATCAAGGGTTTGGATGAATTCATTTCACATCCGATTAAAAAACACTTTTTGGTCAAAGATATCCCGGTGCGACTGCAGCAAATGTTATTTGCACGACGAAAATACGTCTTTTCCCTGTTTGAATTGCTTCGTCGATTGATTTGCATTGGATTGGTTCAAGCCGGACCACATCGTTCGATGAAAGATCAAGCATTTTACTATATGAATCGATTTGCTTCACTCATCGACACATCGAGCTCACTTCCGGGCACGTACTATGTGAGTGAACAAGATTACACAGAAATGGTCTACCAATTTTCAACGCTTGACGATGTGTTTACCTTCTGGGATGATATGCATCGCATTTGTATGAGCACCAAATTACATCGAAGACCAACACATGCCGATCAAACACCGGCCGACAAAGTGATTCCATATAAATTCACGCCGTACTTGAAAGCGATTCAACCGCGACAGGCTAAAGAACGTGATCGTGGCGAGTTACCCGGTGATCATCGAGGTGCCGCTGGATTGGATTCGTACTTTTTCGCACATCTTGAACGTAATTGGGCATTCAATTCGATCAAATGCAGACCAAAAGCACAACTTAAAATTAAATCCGAAACAACACCACCAACTCGATACCAACGCCTTGTGCGAATGACACGAGATGTGAACTTGAAGAAGCATGAATCTAGAATGACTCCAATTCCACTGCACAAATTAAAATCGGCGGCTATTCGTCGGCGCGTGCCAATCGTGCGGAAGAAAACGACAATGCTGAAGAAAAAACGAGTTCGCAACAAATATGATGATATCGATCGAATGGCACTGCAACACATGAACAAATTACGAGTGGATTGGAATCCACAAGAGGATAACTTTTTACTTTTGTGTAAGGTTGCACAAATGTACTTGAATCCTAGCAATCGTCTTTCGATGCCCGGCCAAATGGTTCGTGATCTCATCCACTGGCACTGCAAGTCACTCAACAAAACGTCATACGCGTGTCGTCGTCGCATCAATTACATCGTTAAAAAGCTGCCGAACAGCAATCAAATCAACAACAGCATAGTGATGTGTCTCAATGAAATCAAAAGCAACAAATCAATCCAGAAACGATTTGGTCAGCATTTTATTCGAAATCTGCGCAAAGTCTATCCCGACGAAAACGAATTTGACAAAGCATTTAAAATCCATTTCATTGATTTGGTGCACATGTTGAGCTGTCAATTTTACAATTTGACCAACAGTTTTGAGTCGAATACATTGATATTGCCGAGGACGATACAAGAGTTCAATGCGAGATACTGTGAGCGAAATGATTCGGTTTATGATTCGAACACGATTCGATATGATGCCCCAACGTCGGTGGATGACGTGAAAATTGCACAAATTGTAACATTGATCCATAGTACAGTTTGCTGTTCGTACGATAAAACATCATGGAGCATTCAATTGTACGAGATTTACAAAGATTTCCCCGAGAGAATGCTGTCGACCGCAATGCGCAAGGTACGCTCAGACCAATTGATATCACAGAATAAGTTGAACAGTAATCACAAAGTGCAAAATCGTTGTTTGCCATTGAGCTCAAGTGGTTTTCATCTGTCAGCCACTTATCAACAACAAATGACCACAAAGATCTCGTACGACATATTCGACGATGCCTATGAAAATATCAAAAATATTCTGGAAGATGTTAACGATCGCAAATGGTCACACATTCTGAACTTGTCAAATAGTGCCGTTTGTTTCTTCATTTCGGAATTGTCACAGCAGAAGAACTATGCAATCAATATCGAGATACCGAAGCGAATTTTGCTATTGGATCCCAGCAAACGTCTTCCAGATGAATCTTTCGAAGGGATTTATGCACGATTCCACGAAATTTTCAACTATATTCCAAAGGTTGATCTAACTGGTAACGACGATTCAACATTTGATGATTTCATTTCGAAACTACCAAATGCAGAAGATAAATCATCATCGACCAATGAAGCAAAGAATATTGTTAAGAAGTTGGAAAATTTGCCACCCGAAACATTACACTTCTTCTGTATCGTTGACAACTTTGGTGTGTCAAAACCAAGGACTCAAATCGAACTGACGGAAAATGGCAAGTGTCCTTATGATTGTTTGAGAAATTTGGAAAATCCACTCGAAAATATTATGGACAAATTGGTTGCGAAACGTGAAGTTTGGTATCGATTGAATGTCGAACAATTTGAATTCGAACCATTGCCAGCTATTGTAACTATTGATGAAAATAACATTGTCGCCGTTTATAATTTCCTCGTGCTGAAAGGAGCCAATACGACTGACGAACAACGAACTACCAGTTTGGATCTGTTTAAACAGATTTCTGACATTGCTGACGAACTTTTACTCGAAAATGACAACGAATTTATTGACGAAGATTTTGGCGCTGAATATGATTTGCGCAGCGATGTGAAGAAGAGATTATATGATGGTGCACAAATCAACGATAAAATCCATAAATTTCATGACTTTTTGTGCGTTAACACATGCAAATTGTCGCTATCACCAGCAAAGGAAGCTAACGACAACAATGTTCTTAATTTAAATACGCTTTGCAAGAAACGTGATGAAATTCTCGCGAAAATTGTGGTGTAAGTTTAAGAAATTGATGATTTGGATATCATTCTCATTCGCATTTTGTTTAATCATTTTTCTGTCATTTCCAGAGATTCAAATTGGTCGCCCGACCTGAAGTCGGACAAGGATTTTGTGACTCTGTTAAAAGAGAAGGATATGAATATGACGGAAATTCACATTGCCGTTGATGTTTTCAATTATATCGATTCGCAAGGTGAAACTGGCGCTAATACGGCCGATCTTATCGAACGATATGAGGACAAAATATTTTTGCAAAAAATTCTGGATTATTTCAATGAGGCGAAGCTAGTGATGAAGACGGGCGTATGTGAGGTTACTTATGTGCATTGGAAACACATCAAACCATGGGTGGTTAATACGTACCACTTAAAACGCCTTGATCGGGTATGATTCAAAACAAAACGCGGCATAATTTCTGTTGAGTGACACAGTTTTTTTTCTTCTTCATGTTCCAGGAAGCGACTCCACCAACGAACAAAAGTCTCCTACACATAGCGGATGCGTCAAGCACCCCAATTGCATTAAAACGAAAAGCAAGTGAATCTGGTCCAAGTGATACAAAACGAACAAAAGTTGATGATGAATCGACAAGCACCAAAGAAATACAAACAAATACTACCACGGCAGCGGATGAAAGTGCAGTTGATTCTGCTGCGTCTGCTGTTCTGTCACAGGATGAGCCAACAAAAGAGCCAGATCCTGAGAGCTCGAGCAAAACATCCGAATCGGAATCGGCATCGAAGCAAACGAAACCATTGCATGATTCAATCATTGAGCACGGTGAACAAATGGATGTAGAGTTTCTTCCACAGATCAAGTAATTTGTAATCATTTTTACTCAGAACTTCTTTTAGTTTATCGAATTTTTGATTTTCAATGGAAAAAAATACCGTTTTCAGGAAAACATTCCCGATTAAGATGGCACCATGGATTCGGGTAAATGGATCAGTGAATCGTCGTGTGCTTGACAAATACGCTGGAACAATTTTGTTGCATTGCATTGAAAACGTTGGATTAACACTATTCACCCTATGCACTCGGTTCCATTATCTGCTGCCGATTCATGTTTATGAAATTGTTCAAGTACGGTCGTTATTCAGTTGTGTTTACAACACGTTAATTACAACAGACTGATGGTGTTTCAATTTTGATTTCAGTATTTGGAAGAATTTGGTTGTATAACGAAAACTGCCATGGCGAAACGGAAACCAATCACCTTGTTCTCGAAATACGAAAGCGTTAAAACGGGTAAGAATATTTTGATACAAACGTTCTTTCAATGGAAAGGGATCCATTCATCTTTCTATTTAGGACCAGCTACGGATTTGGATGACTTCAGAAATATTGTGATTGAACCCACCATTGATGCCGTCACAAAAATGTCCATATTCATTGGAAATAAGAAATACAAAGAAGATTTCATTTAAAAAAAAATTTACGTTTCTGATATTTTTTCGAAAGTCCAAGACATTTTAAGAGAATAAACATTTTTGTTAGATATAAAATGTTTTTTTTTTCGTTATTGATCCAAGCGGAAATAATAAAATAATAATTATTGATGCACTTTGAAGCAGATTTTATTTCAATCCATTGCATTGCCCAATACAAAATTTCCTTGAAATAGTTTTATCAGCTATGAATGTAATTTGTGTATTTTTTTTTCTTAAACATGTGAATGTGCTTCACAGTCGCAGTTTTGCAAGCGTTCGTCCTCACTAGAATAAACATTGTATGCAAATATTTTCTTCCAATCCGAATCAATCCATAAATACTTTTTCTTTTCATTTTCATCGGCATTTTCGTACCATTTCTTCCATGTTTGAAATTTGCTTATGGTATTCTCTAGAATCGTATCAATATCCGAGTGATAAACAGCGATCGGCGATTTTCTTAAAATAAAATCTTTTAGTTCGTCAACAGTTGGAATTTGCATTATCTTTTCATTTCCCGATTTTTTCTTAATCAAAGTCTTACATTTATGTATATAACTATGGGCATGAATTATAGAGCTCTTTTTCGGGTACCCGTAATCACATAAGCTAAACTTTTGATTTTCCAAACATTTGAAAAGCGGTAATTTTGAATCTGAACAAATTATCGGCAGTGCACAGATGGCCTTACAAAATTGAGTTCGAAACACTTTTGTATTACACGATGATACATTGATTTGTTCAATTGGTTTAACATTATACCATTGACCACCTTCGACTAGTAATATTATATTACCCGATTGTTTGATCTCTTCGATTGATTTAATAGTATACCATTGACCGTTTTCAACTAACTTGATATTCTTCGTACAAATATTGGTCGTTAGTCTTTTGACTCTTTTAGTTTCGAATAAAATAATCAATTTTACAATATCCTCATAATCGACATCACTCAAATAATCCAAATATGGTTTCCTACTCTCTCCTTCCAATAACATCAATTTTATTTGACCGTTTTCGATCGGTTGCCAATTTTGAAATTTGGTCAGCGCTATTTGTTTGAAATGTATCAACTTTTTGTGGTTCGACATATGAGTTATACAAAGCATGTAGTTCCAAAATCGCCATAGCTTCAGCTTCTTTTCATATTCCTCACTGTAAGTAACACCAAATAAATCCTTAGCTAAATCTAAGACACCTGAACAATATTGAATACGTTTTCTCGGAATATTCAGAGATTCAATTCCAGGCACTGATTCAGTAAGCTTATCAATTTCCTTTGGATAGATATCGGTATGGAAAAGGATTGCATTCTTTATCGGCGAATAAAAACTTGACTCCAGTCCCGATTCCAGCATAAATCGACATTTCAAAATGGTCAATGTACGTTCAAGTGATCGTTGTATGCATAGTTTGATGTATGAATCAATTCGGTCGCATTGTTTTAAAATTTGTAAAAAGAATGTGTGCAATAACGGAAATGAGCCGACAAACTGTGTATCACCAAACAGTAAAAGCGCGATCGTGGCATAATTATGTAACAGAATGTTCATTTCGTTTTGAGTTATTGTTGCCGGGAAATTCACATTGCTGTCCGCATTGTATAAAACAATGCCAAAGCAAGGGGCCTGATGTAACGGAGATTTGAAAACGCGATTAACAGTTTTATAGCCCATATAATTCAATTCAGTGCGCTCTAGGCCCAGAAATGCATCAACGGATACATGTTGATTCGCCGGTGGGATTCTTCTATTCAAAACGTCCGGTGACAAAAGCTCAAATAATCGCATTGGACTTCTAACTATTTTATGACGAATCGGGGTATAAAAGCTGGTATGGAGTGCTGCTTTAAACTCGCTTCCACCAAATAGTTTGTCAATGCCAATCCAAACGACACAAAATTGGTTGTACTCGCATGAGTCTAGCAGCAGAATCGGACAATATGCATTTGATTCAGACACTTTCTCTTCATCATCCATCATTTTCATTCTCTTCGCCGGGATTCCACATTCGTCATCTTCTTCAGATTGATTCGATGGTTTCATTTCCGCTTTTACTCGCTCGTACCACTGTTCTCCGTATGCAAGCAACCGACGGTCAACTTTCGAATGTCCATTTCCAATTTCGATAATTTGGCTCAAAACCTTTCGATAGTCAACGGTTGTCACGTCCAAAAATTGTTTCACAATCATGTCAAAGATTTCTTTTGAATTCGATTTATAATCATCAAATAAGTGGTCAAATCCCTCATCGCACACGTTCATATAATTACGATGAACCACTTTGTTAATGAGATCGACGAATTTTTTAAACTCAGCTCCGATGGATCCATTCAGTTCGTTCTCGCTATATTCGACCATTTTGCGGTAAAATATTTTGTAGAGTTCTTCTAAAGCTTCCGTCAATTTGTCCACTGCATTGTCTTCGATCTTTTTAAATTCGGGAAGATTGCACAAATGTTTGAATAGCACGTCTTTGGGTTCTTTCGTCGATGTGTACCTCACAATTTTATTATTTGTATCAAACCTGCACCTTTTCGAAACAATCCAAAAACGACATATTCATTCCCGTCAGTCTTCCGCAGTAATGCACATGAATAGCATCCGGTTTCACGGTTAAGGCACTATACAAATCAACATATCTATCGTATCGGCTATGGTCAATTTCACCATCGGTAATCAAATACAAATCGAAGCTGGATAATTTTTCATTATCCAAAAATTTCCAAATTAAATCTGGATAAGTTCCGCCCGCGTGTTCGTCGCGTAGGTCTTTGATGTATTGGCGAAGGATTTCAATGGTCACCTCGTGGGTTTGTGAGCTCCAGCAAACAACACGATAGCTCGAATACGATTTGCACAGTACTTCTTGCAGCAGTTCCGAAACATAATTCCAATAGAATTTAAAACCCTCAACAGAGCCACTGACATCAACAGCCAACACACAGCACTTTCCTACTTGAGACATTTTTTTCGGAATCAATTTGAAGAAGAAACTATATTTCTGTTTCGCGTAAGTTTGTAATAAACTACTTTTGATGTAAGACTACATCCTATATATATACAAAAACAGCTGATCATGAGAGCCTATGACTCAGCGGCTATCACCTTATTGTAAACATGTGTTCGGTATCAGCACTCTGTGTAGACACTATCACCCACACACTTTTTCCTACATTTGAGTTGGGACCTTATCCACAAACACACACGCACTGTGTCATGTAATTTGCACGCATACGTCCAGTGTTGCCATGCATATTGTTTGATAGGTATTAAGTGCCAAATTGTAATCAAACTATGAACGTAACAACAGTTCAAACGATACGTTTCAAACAGCTGATTTTAGCGTCATAGCGAAACGATGGAAGTATTTCGCAATTATATAGCTAGATGCCAACAATATGCCACATTATTTTGCGTTTGTGAAATTTGGCCAATTCGGGTTTTATCAGGCCACTTTAGATTAATCCGTCTGCTAGAGTCATATTTATTCGCTATATATGTTTTAACGTGACTCATTAACGCAATCACTTACCTTTGTGTTGATTTTCGGTCTTTTGCAACATATCAAAATTTATTGATATACTTGAGTTATTATTGAAATGAGAAAAATAACACTTGAAAATGAGATAATTTCAATGTCTCATCATTGACAAATAATAATACTGCCGTTAATATTTGCCGTTATTTCTAGAAACACTAGTTTCGAATTCACAAAGTACCCGCTTTTTCACCATTGGATATATGGATTTACTACCCCAAAAATATACTTTTTGAATGAGTTTCTTAGTAAAAAGTTATTTTTTTCGAGAAATATTGGGAATCTACTCACACAGAATCTCTTATGAATGATTTTTGGGGTACCTTTCGAACAAAAATTGATATTTTCATAGTAAAATCCATGAAAAACGTATATTTTGTTGGGGAGGTACCTTAAAAAGTCAATTTTGAGAGTTTTTGTCTGGGCAGACTCTCCATATTTTCGAGAAAAAATAACATTACACCAAGACACCATCCCTAAAAAGCCTATACTTAAGGATTTTCTGGTAGTTGAAATCGAATATGAGGCCAGAAATATGTGAAAACATCACTCGATTTGGTCGTGTTGTCACTTAAAATGTTCGTAGGGGATCATACTAAATGTTCAAAGGCAGAGAAGGTAGAAATCGCTTGCTTTTATTTATCAGATCGAAGCTCGTAGTCGTGATTTGCTCATTTCGGCCTGAAATTTGTCTTTTATGTGTGAATCAATTGTCGCCAAATTCCATCCAAATTGCAATCTGACAAGTACCAAAATGTTTGTACAGGTTCTGGCTACACGACACAAGTCGAAAACCGAACAATAGTCCACCGCCTGGGTGACTCGTAGAGCCAAAAATGTAAAAAATGCCGAAAAATTGCAATTTTTTCGGTCATTTTACACTGTAACTGGCCCAGAATGCCTTTTCAAGGGCTAATGTCTTGGTAAAAGTTGTACATATTGACGAGCCAAACAAAACCTCATCAACAGTTTCTGCCGAATATTGGCTGGAAAAATTATTTTGGTCGAAATGTAGCGATCTAAAATGGCTTCCGAAATCGCTGTCATGAAAATTTTGATATGAGGCTTGTTATGGGTTTTTGTATGGTACCCATATCGTTTTTTTTAGACAAAACCTATTTTTTTGAGGTATATACTTCGAAACTGGCCGGAATTTTGGGATGAGGGACAACTTTTTTTTTGGATCGGTCTAATTGACACCCATAGAACGAATGAACAACTTATGAGCTCTTTATCCATAAGTGAGACGGAAAAAACTTTGAGCAGAAAACAGACAAATAAAGCTGCGAGCAATGTGTCACTTTTGCTACTCAGCATTGAGCGGAAAAGACGTTTTTCTCGCTACTGAAAATAGATAACGATTAGGTCTCTTCGACATTATTGTAGACAAATAAAAAGAACCACAAATAAGTATAAAAATAATATATCAATGATTTACAAAATTCGAAAGGGAATAATGGAAAATAAATACCATGTCAACAGCACAAGCAACCATAGATATCCGACGAGTACTAACACAAGGCCGCGTTTCGAGA